AGCTGCCCCGTCTCGGCACACGGAGCGGTGGCGATGTGGGGGCAGCGCCGGGGCCCCTCGGGTGCTGCAGGGCCGGACCTCATCCATCTCTTCTAGGGCCCGCAGTTCACAGAGCGCCGCGGCCCGGGCGTTCTCGGCCCCGCGCAGCCTCTCTGGCGCCGAGTGGGTAGCTCCCCTGCCCGGCGGGGCTCGACGCGGCTGCGGGAGCTGGAGCAGCTTGGGTCGGACGTTTGTTAGCGCTTTCTCCTGGCTGGGCGTTTGTGTGGCTGGGGCTGGGCTGGATTTCCGCTGCCCGGGTGTAAGTGTCGCCTGCTGTATTACTTGGCGCTGAAAACAACTCGGTAAGACTGCCTCTCCGTGCTAGGGTCTCTCGGATGCAGGCTATAAAACCACTTTCTCGCTGGTACAGTTGAGAGGCCCCAGGGGCCCGATCGTGCAGGGTTCGGCTCTGGGTCTGGTCCCTGCCGGCTGTACCCCTCCAAACACAGAGATAGAAATGTTTGCTGGCTGCTTTTCAGTCTTCTTCTCCCTGCTTTAGCTGGCAAGAGGGCTCAATTGCAAACTTTTTTGACTTCAAACACTGAATTTGAAGTCTGCCCTGCCTGTGGTTTTGACGGCATGTCATAACTGTTTAATCTGTGGTTAGTCTTCTTTAGCTCAAAGCTTCCCCAAGCTGTGTTTGATTAAGTTTAGACCACTTGCCTTGAATTTCAGTAGCAATAAATTGTATAAACACATTTGAGGTAAATTAGTGATGAAATACAGATAATTAACATCCAGCTTATGGAAGATGAAGTTCTGCCTGCCCTGAATAAGAACAGTTGCTCTTGCGGCAAAATAGGTAGAATGGTGCCAGATTTTGTACTGACAATGCCTGTTCTGCTGCCTTGTCCTGGTAATAAGTTGTGGGTAACTGGAGCTTATCTTCTCAGGAAAAATGGTGAACAACCTGACTGGTCAGTCTAGCTCTACTCTGATTTCAGGGAAATGCCAAAACCAGAATAGCATAAAAAGAAAGAAAAACAACTTAAACATTTTAAAAATGCCATCAGTTATGATAATCTATGCAGTAAATAACAAAAAAGGAGGACCTACATAGGACTTAAGCTAATAACAGATTGTTTGTTTCCTTTTCCAAACAACTCTAGTTTTTTTTTTAATTCCCTTTTTATCAGCTAAGCTTCTTTCCTTGTTTTGTTTTTTTTTAAGCACGTTTATTTCATGATGAGGGTTTGTGTGTGCATGGATGAGGGGGTCGGAGGTGAAATATGCTGAGAAACTATGAAGTCTTATTTTCCACGTTTGATGCATGATGGCTGGAGCCTGCTAGGAGATATATATATAAAAATAAAAATGTGTCATGAAGTTGCTGGATGTTCTGGGCAAATAGGGATATGACAGGGATAGGAAGGAAAGTGCTTTGGTGAAACAGAATGTAGAACAGGTTGTGGGAAGATGGAAGAGTAACTTGACAAAGGAAAAGTGAATGGAAAATCAACTGTATCAATAGGCCCAAACACTGCCTGGCTTGTTCAAACATTTCTTCTCTTCCTGCAGATTGAACTTCAGGTTACAGTTACAGTTTTAAAGGATTTTTTCCCCCTGCAGGTTATGATTTTTTAAAGGAAAATCAGAAATAACAGTTCTTGTCTTAGAGCAAGTTGTCAAAACATGTCGCCCTGTGAAAAGAACATGGGAATAAGTGTAGTTTGTAGCACCCAGCTTCTAGACCACTTTTTAAATATTGTTGCTCTGATTGTTCCTGTTGTTCCATGAGTGTTCAGGCTTAGGAACTGAACTCATAGGACTTTCTAGAGTTTAAAAATGTAAATTAATATTTTAAAAGTAACTTGAAAAATCTGTGCATGCAGGGCCATGTGGGTCCTTCCTAGGGACTTAAATAATTCCCAGTGGTGGTGCTAGTCCAGGATTTTTAGCTGTCCTGATTCATGAGGATTTTACAATATTTGTTACCAAACCTTTGATTTGATCCGAGTCTTGTCCTTTCCTCTTTGGCCCACTGCCAGGAGAGGTAGTTAGCTGTGTTAATCTGAAAACAGGGCAGGGTGGCACTTTAGGCTGCTTACAGATGTTACCCCCCTTCCCTCCCCCCCAAAAAAGATGCTTTACTTTAAATTTGACATCCTCATGGGAGGAGCACTCGGCCAAATCTGATCGGTCACATAGCTTCTGCGCTTCCATTGATGAACTCTGCTTGTCTCAAGAAGTCTATGGACCAACAAGAGGTAAGGCACTCCTGGATCTGGTACTGGCCAAAGGGGATGATCTAGTGAGTGACCTGAGAATCAAGTGGAAGCTGGGAGACAGTGATCATGAGTTGATCACCTTCCTCATCCATAGTAAAGCTGGCAAATCAGTCAGCAATGCAGAAATCCTTGATTTTAGGAAAGCTGATGTCACGGCGCGGGGTCCAGTAGGATGGCCGTGATCTCCCTAAGGCCGCCTTTACTGTGCCAAGTTGACCCAATGGGCACCCTCGACTCTCACCCGCCACATCTTTGACAAAATATTTTTGGGAGGCTGCCTTTTACGCCCTCTTGGTCACATCTTGCTGGACACTCAGATCCTGTGGTTTCCCAGACCCCTCGTGGGTCCCGCTTTGCAATGGGTGCTTCAGGGGCACCCTAGCCTTATGGGCTATGCGTGGCTCCAACCATCCCTGTACCACGCCCCAAACCTCTCAGGTGGAATTGACGTTGTTCGGTCTCTCTGGCGCTCGGGCTCTCCACAGCCCCCTTTCTCTCTGGGGCTTCTCGCGGCCCTCTCTCTCTGGGGCTTCTCCACAATAATGCTGCCCCCCTTCTCTAGGGGCTCACCACACCCACACTGGGGCTTCTCAATTGCCCCCTTTCTGGGGCTGGGGTCAGTACACCCCGACTGCTGCTCCCTCGCTGGCACTGGGGTCCCCACACAGCTGTGAGTCCCCTATGAGGCCTCCTCCAACCCCTAATAGCCTCACCCAAACCACCGGTAACAAAGAGCAAACAAAACGCAAGCCCCTCGGCTATAACTTAAATGGAAGCCACCCGGCTATAACAACATTCCAGCCTACCGGGGAATAATCCATTCCTCAGCCGTGTCAGATGCTGCTCTTTCTGTCAGGCTTCCCCTCTCTTCCCTGAGAGAGCTCCTTCCCCCTTGGCCGCTGGCAGGGGACTGCTAGCCTGGCCTCAGCCCCTGGGCTTTATAAGGGAGCCAGGCCCTGCCCCTTCTGGTCAGCTGACCTCCTCTGGTTGCCCCTGGCAGCCTGCAGCTGGGCTCATCCCTCACTGCTAGGGCTCCTTCCCTAGCAGTTTTTTCCTTCTTAGGAGCAGTGCACCTAAGTGCTCTGCGACAGCTGACTTTCTTAAGTTCAGGAGGCTGGTTGCCAAAGCCCTGAGAAACCATGATCTGACAGAGAGGGGAGTCCACAACAAGCAGTTGCTCCCTAAGGATGCAATCCTTGAAGCACAAGGGAAGTCCATCCCAGCCTGCAGGAAAGGTAGCAAAAGGGCTGGGCAGCCCCTGTGGCTAAATAGTGGACTCATGGACCTCTTGTATCTGAAAAGAAAAACCTACTGTGCGGGCCG